TGGTCCGGTCTGAGTCTGGTCCGGGATCAGACCAGACTCAGACTCTAAATTTTACTAATTTCAGACTTCAGACCAGATTCAGACTCAATTGTGGGTTCGGTCTGGGTTTGGTTCGAAGTCTGCAAACTAGTTTGAGTTTGAAGGTGGACGAATTTTCCTATGATCACCTATTGGATGATTTCTGCAGACCCTCACGTAAGTGTGAATTTTTGTTATCGATCCTGGGGCAGTTTCTATTTAGCTAGAAATTGAACCTGGCATAAAATTTATGCTCCAGGTCACCCTCATTTTACTTATTTGCGCAGGTAATACAAAACAAAAAGGGAAATCCAATTTTGTAAATAAACTAAGTGAGTTAAGGTGTTAGCATTATTCTTCTTCTGTCACCTCTTGCTCTAAGTCTTTGTAGTCTTCTATATTGATTTCTTTGATGGGTTCATATATTTCTTTCTACTGTAATGGAATTTCTTAAAGCACATCATCATGTTTACTAAAATTACGATCCGGACCCGAATCCACATTAGCTTTCATAGCTGGATTAACAACACGAATATCCCCAGCATTATTGACAATATCTGCTGCATCTCAATTATTATCCCAAAGCATCCGAGCATTAGCTGCTATTAAGTTAGCATCTAAGATGAGTCCACCACCTGCTGCGGTAAGGGCAAATCAAGCATCCATGATTAACAGTTTACTCAAAAGGTCACACCGAAGCATCAAAATAGACCAGATACTTAAAGAAGAAAACAGAAAAGAAAAATTCCTAATAGAAGAAAAAGAGATATTAGAAGAGGTAAAGGTACACTTCGAGAAGCAGTTCAAAGAAAGGAAAGTAAACCCAGAAGGGATGAGTAAAAGCTAGAAAGAAATATATGAACCCATCAAAGAAATCAATATAGAAGACTACAAAGACTTAGAGCAAGAGGTGACAGAAGAAGAATAATGCTAACACCTTAACTCACTTAGTTTATTTACAAAATTGGATTTCCCTTTTTGTTTTGTATTACCTGCGCAAATAAGTAAAATGAGGGTGACCTGGAGCATAAATTTTATGCCAGGTTCAATTTCTAGCTAAATAGAAACTGCCCCAGGATCGATAACAAAAATTCACACTTACGTGAGGGTCTGCAGAAATCATCCAATAGGTGATCATAGGAAAATTCGTCCACCTTCAAACTCAAACTAGTTTGCAGACTTCGAACCAAACCCAGACCGAACCCACAATTGAGTCTGAATCTGGTCTGAAGTCTGAAATTAGTAAAATTTAGAGTCTGAGTCTGGTCTGATCCCGGACCAGACTCAGACCGGACCA